AGAGTTGGAAATCCTCCACTTTTTCTGTGAACTCAATCAGGTGCTCCAACTTGCCTGCTCTGACACGTTTCTTAAAAACATTATAATGTATTTTTTAGCTGGACTGCTAGGTGTTGGTCCCCTTGCTGGGATCCGTTACTCTTACTCTAAGATACTTTCCTCCATACGTGGAATCCCTTCAGCACAGGGGAGGTATAAAGCATTTTCTACCTGTGCATCTCACCTCTCAGTTGTCTCCTTATTTTATAGTACGATCCTAGGAGTTTACCTCAGCTCTGCTGCTACCCAGAGCTCACACTCAAGTGCAATTGCCTCAGTGATGTACACCGTGGTCACACCCATGCTGAACCCCTTCATCTACAGTCTGAGGAACAAGGACATAAAGAGGGCCCTGGAAAGATTTCTTGGCTGGTAAGCTTTTCAAAGGCTAATTTTATTAGGCTGAAAAATTGCCCAGGAATGCAGGGTGCAAATACTCAGAGCCAGAAGTCTGACAGAAATAAAACCAATATTTTGACCATATGGATTTGAAAATTCTCATTTATCTCATGGGTTAACATGAATTAGTTTAGTGTAATTTATTCTCCTATGACATATTTTATTATAAGTAATTTTTCTATTGTTTTTCTAAAAGAATATTTAGGAATTATACTACCCCTATGGACAAAATTATACTTGGCTACTAAGGTCATTTGCATAATTTCATTTTAGAGGTACCTCTGAGACCACAGTTTTCACTTCTATTTCATCATTATTTTCTATAGGTGCTCTTCTTGATAATGTAGACTTTTTGACATGCTAGCATGTTATATAGCTGGTCTCCTGGTTTTATATTCTTCATTCTATTATCCAGCTCTGTGTCCACATGTCTATCATAGCCACTGGCAAAAATTGACTATCAAACACATTGTTTTCAGGAAGAGTCTACAAGGAAATATATATTTTAATAGATAGATTGATCTAATATGGTTAGAGTCAGAGATGACCTTAAATGTGCTTAAGCAATAATAAGTATACAATTTTTTCTATACAAAACTGTTTTTCATGGCCCACATCTACTCAATAAAGTGTGAAATATGCTTCCCATTTGTAAGTCTCCTTATTCACTGGAGTGAAAGATTACATGGAGTATCATGAATTTTTTCTGAATTATTTCATTGTTTCTGCTTGAATACTTTCTTTTTCATTGATTTTTTTAAAGTGAGAGGGAGAGCCCTAACCGGCTTTGCTCAGTGGATAGAGCGTTGGTGTGTGGAATGAAGGGTCCCAGGTTCGATTCCGGTCAAGGGCATGTACCTTGGTTGCGGGCACATCCCCAGTAGGGGGTGTGCAGAAGGCAGCTGATTGATGTTTCTCTCTCATCGATGTTTCTGACTCTCTAT